AGAATGCTTCTTGGAAAAATGGTAACCATTCAAAGACTAAAAAATTTTAATTCTATTATCAATTCAAAAATATTTCTACATGCATGCTAGATGTACTGCATAATACCAAGAAATATATAATACAGTAAGGACAGTAAGTAATGGGTAAATACTCAGATCTTTCACATTTAGTGAAAAAAATCACGAGGCAGTTCTTGGTTATAGAAATCAATTCAGCTTCAGAAAGAATGAATGACCCTCTCAAATTTCACCCTCTCTAGTCTTTCCCGATATTTCATTCAGACCATATCCTCTTTACTGCTACACAGAAACTTTGGTGACCAAAAATTATTTACTTATAAAAGGATGCAGTTGAACTGTCTTCAATTTGTGAATGAAGACATGTATAAATCCAATTTCAACAGCTCTTTCCTTTTTGTTTTTTGTCTTAGTTGTGTCTGAACACCTAAGGACAAACACAACACCTACCCATGCTACACCAAGACAACTCAATCTTTATATAAGTATCTCCAAATATACATTTACGTCTGTTTGTACTGTGATAAAAAATTAAATAATTACAGATATAGTTCTGTACAATTATTAAACTACAGCTGAAACTCAAGACTGCAGTTTCAGATTTCCAGAGACTGTATGTCAGTCTTTTTCCCTAAATTAAGGTTACTCTCCATGGCTTTTTGTCTGATTTTTTTTCATTATCAGCCATGCTACTCATACTTGATTTTGCAATACACCAATCTAAATTCTTAATTCACATGTTCATTCTGCTTTCTAAATGTGCCATTACCTAAACTGCAGCCCAGCTAAATCTGAGGCCTGGATGTCAGCCCTAAGCCAAAAGAGCAGAAGAGCTGAGTGTTGCCATCACAGTATCACAACACAACGTGCTGGGACCCAAAACAACACAAATGGAATTTATCACCTTGAGCTTCATTACTAAGCTCCCTACATAACAATTTAAATTCTGGACTTTGCTTGGCAGACTGAAAAATGTGTGCGCACACATCATTCTCAAGGTATGGCTCTGTCTTGATCCTACCTTTTAAGAAAGAAAAAGAACAATTCTATTGTACATGACAAGCATTATGCAGACATCATCTTTTCTCATCTAAAATCTACAGTTCTGTAAATACAGAGAAAAATTATTCTGTCTGTATGCAATTAATTATTACAAATTTAAGAAAAAAAATCACCCAATAGCAGAGTTTTGATATCCAATCAAGTATGGAAAATTTGATTTGCATGTCCCACAGATAGAAATGACTCTCAACTCTAAGAATTTGCTTTATATAATATGATGCCTTACTAATATTCAACTTTAGCTATTACAGCACTCATGGAGGTACATATTAGAATACTCATTTTTAAAACACTGTATACACACTTCATTTGCATTAGCTTCATGAGCCTTCTGCAGCACAGCTCCTTGAGGTAGCTGCAAAGAGAATACCATAAAAAAAAAATAAAAGAGGGTAGAAAGAACTTAATTTATTGCAGTAATTCAATACTGATAGCAAATTAGGACTGTAAAAGCAGAACAACATAATTTAAGAAGCATAGGTTATTAAAAAACCCTAGAAACCTGTAGGGCTCACATTCAACAGCTTCTGTTTCATACTATTGTGTACTGATCAACAAGGAGAATTTTCACATTAAACATGAGCTATCGCCCTTTAAACTTGTCCTTATACATGGTAGTTGATGATTATGTGCTGCCATCTAGCAAATGTTTCCAGAAAAGTTTAACTTCAGAAGCTATTCTGTGGCAAGACACCTGAAATTTCTCAGAAAGATTTTTAACATTGGAAACACATTCAAGATAGCAACAGGTTTTAAAATGATTCCTTCAGCCTGCATGCTTGTAAGAGTAACCACAACTGGAGAATACAATTAGGCTTAATACAGACAAACCCTTCAAAAGTAAGACTATATGCAGTGAATATGGAATTGCAAAACTGAAATTTTCATTCTACAAGTTATGCTTTCCTTTGTTTCAGTGAACTGAATGAGCAGAAGATGGTAAGAAATACTGCATTTTCTTCTTTCCCAAAAACTCTAGTCTTCACTGTTTCACTTTGTTCCATCATCCTTTACACCCATCCTCCCTGCTTCCCCCACTCAATTCTTCTTTGGGCAGTAATCAAAAAGCAGCAATCCCATACAGTAATATGATGCCCGCATTGCAAAAAACTTGTGTTTCTTAACTCTTTTAAATCTCGATTTTTCAGTCATGCAGTCACACTGAAACTGTACCATGCTATTTACCAGCAGCAAGATGGCTTCCTAAAATTACCGGACCTTGCTGACTGTGGGTTCTGCCAAAACCTTACTTGTTTGTTATTATCTAGGTATATATTCAATTAGAGAAAACCAAAGAAAACATTTATAAACACTTTTGGCACAATTTCTGGTTCTTAACATGTAAAAAGCATGTCATTTTGAAGCACTTACACTGCTACAAACAACTTTTCATGAAAAGAAAAAATAATGAAATGTCTAAACTAATTATTTGTGAATGACTGGTTTCTTATTATTTTCTGTCTTATTTCACCTCATCACAATAATTGCAATTTTCTCTTTTCACCCTGGATCCTTAACATTGTACAGCTACCTTAAATCTCTCATTCATTCAGTTACCTAAACAATACAACATTTTCATTCATTGCTCTCCATAGATCAGAACAGTAGGGAGACTATTGGTCCATGGAGGTATCATTCTTTAAACATATTATAATTTAAAAACCGCAAAGCCCAACAACTTTTGAGGCGTCCATTCCTTTCCAATTTCTCTCAAATTAGCCAATGAGCTCAGAAGCTCTCAGAAAGGACACCGGTGTCACAGTCCACTATTTGTCTCACTTCCCCAGAGCATTCTCTTAATCATCATCATTAAATCATCATACAATTAAATGTCTTTTAGTTTCAAAGCACACATACACCTCATGCAGAAGACACTGCAGAAGTAAGCTTTTTGACACTTATAACTATTTGTTAGCTACTAATATCAAACATAAACCAGTAAGTAATTAAAATTAAGGTCAATTAACATTAGTATAAGTGCCAGTTTATATCACTGAGAAATACTGGTCTTAAGAATATCTGTTCTTCCCGTAAACAAAACGTGAATTGGTAAAACAAAATTTTGAAATCTATCATCTTAGAATTCCTTAAGATCCCACCATTTAGCAGGACCTGGTATTTTATGTTAATTAAAAGCTTTAATTCTTTGCTAGAATTAAGACCTGAAATATATAATATCACAGAATTTCATAGAATGGTTTGAGTTGAAAGAATAGAATAGACTGCATTTTCAAAAGTTATTCCTTTAAACACGGTCCTAATAAAATTCCTCCATTTCATCTCTTATTAGAGGAAGATATGCTTTTTATTCTTAAAATGTATTCTTGCAAGGGCATCTCTGTAACAAATACACAGAGGTACCTGTTAAAGAGATATGAAATATCCAGCTATTGGTAAATTATTTATTTTACATTTTATAACTAAACACCACAGTAATTAATATAGCTCTGACACTTAAAAAAGGACATATGCACAGAAGTGGAAAACATTTTTTAATTGACTCACACTATGTCTCATCCTACTCTAAACCAGACTGACCTTCTGTCTCTCTTGAAGAGATGGCATCCAGGATTTCAGTCTCTGTCCTACCTTATATCACAGATGGACCTATTATTACAGAGTGTTACTTTCTGTAGAAACTGGTAAAATCTACCTCTTCCAGAACTTTCAGTTTCCTCTTAGGAGAAAGTTATGTGTGAAGTGTAAAATGAAATTACATTCCCAGTGTCCTTACTGATGTTTTGTGCAGAAACTTACTGTACTCTTTTTCTGAAGAGCTCCCCAGTCAATGAATGCTTCTATTTTCATCCCTTGTTGTATTAGCATTTTTGTGGTGAAAGACTACAAAACATCACCCAAACATGAGTCAATCACAAGAAGTCCACGTGATTTACAGGTGATTGGTGATTTACAGGTATGTTTTAAGATCAAATCACTCATTTCTGACCTTACACTTGTTAACAGCAAGAACCAAAAACTACTGAGTAAATACCTTGATTTTATGTACTATCAAACATTTTTCCTGAAGAGGCTACACTTCACTAAATTATTGAAATCAACTTGCAAATTAACCCATCTCAATTAACCATATGCCTAAAAGTAATTTTTGTTCTGCTGAAAACTGTAATCAAGCTGTTAGTTATGTAGGAATTCTGGAAGTGCATAGTGCTAAGTTCAGATGCTCATATCACACATGCTCAGCAAAACTGCCAGCTATTCCAAACTGTTGGTGCAGCACCTACAATGAGGTTACTTTAGTTGTGTCAGGCTTACTCTGCACAATGATTTGCAAATATGTAACCAAAACCCATCACAAGTGAAACACACACAACGGAATTCACACTATAAAAAAGAAAAAAATATACTGAAATAAATACAAAACACCAAGCTTCTTACAGAACAGGAAGAATTAGCCATAACCTATTAATTTTTCATTTTCAGTTCCTCACGTCCAAGAAAACAAGGCAATGTCTTTGCCATCCAGGAGACAGGCAGCCTGGGCTTTGGTGGGTCCGCTAGATCACCTGCAAAACTCCAGTGTGAACACAAACAGAGCAAGACAGGCGTGATGAAATGACACCCAGAAACAGGACGTCGCACCGAGGCACTCGTGTCGAAATCGCGTGGCAACCCCATACAAGCAGCTTCACTTCATCCGATAGATGTTTGTTTTCATCACAGCTGAGCTCCAGCACGAAGGGATGCGCTTTCCCATGCCGGGAGACAGCGGCAGTCACCTGCGGCCTTCCCTACGGCTCCAGGCAGCCACGCGGGCTGCGGGAAGGGTCGGCCCCGAGCCGGCTCGCTCGCAGGGCGATCGCTGCCACTGGCCGTCGCCCCGGCCCTGCCGCAGCCCAAGATCCCCCCGGCCCGCCCCTGTGGCCCACCCCCACCGGCGCCCGAGGCCGCGGGTGCCTCACCTCGTTATTGAGGTTCAAGACGGGAGTCATGGCCCCACAGAGCCCCGCAGGCCGCTCCGAGTGCTCCTCACGCCGCCGCACGAACCGAAACCGCGCGCAGGCGCCGAGGGGCTAGGCTCGCTCCGCCCCGAAGCCCTCGTTAATTGGGGTTAAAGAGCTTTGATTGGGGCTTTTTCCCGCCCCGCCCTCGTTCAAAACTGGGGTTAAAGAGCTTTGATTAGGGCTTTTTCCGGTGCCCGCGCGAGATGAGCGGCGTGGGAAGGGGGCGGATCCGCGCCCGGGCTGCCGAGGCGCCTGGGCTTTCCTAAAGCTGAAACCTGGCGGCGTTGTGAGTGGCGTGGCCGGCCAGCTAAATGTGGGATACGGATGTAGACTTGCAAATCCTTAAACTGAAGTAGCAGGAGTAAACTGTGACCGCTGCTCTAGGCTTTGCTCTATCCTCACTCTGACGAAACAGCTTCTATTTTCAAAATGCTTTACAATTGTCAGATTGAGTTTTCCATTTGTGCAGAAGGAAGATTTGTGTAGAAGCTATACATCCTGAAGCTTTGGTTGTCTCAATTTTTATGTACATAATTAATTTTAAATAGCCGTGGTGAAGTGTGGCTGAGCATGTGTTTTGGACTGAGTGATGCCTCAGTCTGAAAATTTTGGCAAAGTTTCATCAGATTTGTCCTCATCATTGCCAGTTTCTTGTGCTAGAAGGATTTGTTGATTTACATTACTACAAATATTCTTCTATTGAAACTTTTGCAAAACCCGTGCTTAAATGAAAGCAAAGTTTAATACGTGTAGAGAATGAATCAGTGTTTTTGGTTTTTTTTTTTTTTTTTTTCATTCCTGTTTATCTGCTGCAGTATTCAAAAGAACGGAGGTAATAAAAAACCAGAAACAAAACCCCAAACTAAAACCTCCAGCAATTTACCAGCAATTGGCTGGACCCTGGATGGCACTGTTGCGACTAGAATTCTGCTTTGAAGTCTGAATATTTAGGCAAATACAACTGTTGTCAGCTGTCTCTGTAATACATTTTATCTGCAGGACCTAGCCTTTGGATCTTCTTATATCTTAATGTTTGCTTTCTAAATGGTACTTAGGCATCTCATGTGAGTGAACTGCGACAGAATCACCCTTGACTGTGCTTTTTATTAAGCCTTACATACAAGTGAGGTTAGCCCAAGCTAGTCCTTTTAAAGTGTTACTTTTAAGTTCTGTTTAGGGTGTTTCTGAAGGCGGTGCAGTCTAGGTGTCATCTGGATCAGTAAATATCTGAAAATACTTTGAACTCATCCCTTTATCTTGTAGTAAAGGAATTTTATTCCAACAGGAGCTGAATTTCTTTTAAAGCATGTTTGCTGAGAATGCTTGAGTTTCACTGCAGATGAGGGGTGTTTACCACAGCTGGTGCTTCATAAAAGTTCTGACTTGGACAGTTATATCCAGTTTAGCGAAGGTCAGCCAACCATCATCAGGTAAACTTTCCTTTGTAGTACCACCAATGTCAGGCAGCTACAGTGATCTATGCAAGAAGGAGCTGAATTTGACTGTATCTGAGTATAGATTAGTATGGGATGTGATATACACAATGCTGTCAATATATGTTTAAGAATTACTGGATAAAATCTCACAGCTAGGCTCTCTTTGTTTGCAGTTAATGTAAAATTGAGTGCAAAAAAATCCAGAAGGAAAGATCTTCCAAGGAAAATAAAGAGCTCCTTCCTTTTGTCTTGATACTTCATGCAAAACTAATCCCTGCATATGCCAGTCTTAGGTTCCATTGTACACCTTTGCAAAGAGAAAGACTCCAGGAGCAGGGAGCCAGCTGCAGTTCTGTGAACCCAACCAGTGCCAGCCTGGCCTTGTATCAGTTAGAGTTGTTCCATCTGTGTAGCCTATGGGGTCATAACTTTAATTTTCTTTCCTCTGAACACTGAAATAACTTGCTTTGAAATTTTCTTGTAGGCCCTGATCACATACTTCTGGCCCTGATGACATCGTTCTGTGCCTTCTTCATCCCACAATTTTGTTTTCTTCTCATTTAGTTGTTGCTGAAAATAAGTGCTTTATTTCTTTCTTCCTTTGTAAAACTCAGTGGTTGTCCAGAGTTAAGAATCTTTGTGACTCATAGCTTCCTTGTCAGCCCTTTGTCATACTATTTATTGACTTAAATGCATTTGAAGTCAAGATTTTCTTGTCAGCTTGTCACAGTCAAGATGCTTTGAGGCATTGCCCCATATAACACTTTTGTACTTTGATGCTTTGTTCTGAGATTTCTTCCTGTGGTGTCAGTATTTCACTCCAGTATTTTGGCATGTATTCTCAGTGTTGGAATGCATTTGTCTGAACCATTTTCTCTCCTTTGTGAACAACTGTCTGTGTTTGCACGTTGCTAGCAGCATATATTTATGGGCTATGAAAATGGTGAACAGCCTTGAGGTGAAGCCATACATGGAGCAGCTGAGGTCACTTGGTCTGTTCAGCCTGGAGAGGAGGAGACTGAGGGGAGACCTCACTGCAGTCACAACTTCTTGTGGGGGAAAGAGGAGGGGCAGGCACTGATCTCTTCTCTGTGGTGACAGTGACAGGACCCAAGGGAATGGCCTGAAGCTGTGTCAGGGGAGGTTTAGGCTGGACAGTAGAAAAGGGCTTTTCACCCAGAGCCTGAGCAGGCTCCACAGGAAAGTGGTCACAGCACCAAGCCTGACAGAGATCAAGAAATGTTTGGACAATACTCTAAAGTATGTGGAGTGATTCTTGGGGTGTCCTGTGCAAGGCCAGGAGTGATCCTGATGGGTCCCTTCCAACTCAGGATATTCTACAATTCTATGTTTCTATTTGTAGAACATAAGATGTTGCAGAACAATACAGGGGAGTTGAAATAAAAAACTATTTAAAGAAAGAGGGGGTTATAGCTGGGTCCTGTTTCTCTCCCTTTATCTCCAGGTCCATGTGATGTGGTAGCAGCTGTGTAGACCATCTTGTAGCTACAACTGGCCTTGATCCCAGAAGGCATGCATAAAAGTTATATTTTTGAAATACTTAGTGAAATATGTATTTATTGCAGACACTTGCATTTGTATGTTCAGTGCAGATGTAATGAAATATGTATGACATTTGTTTTGTGTTGAAATAACAAAAAGTAAGTTTTAGAAATTTCAATTAATTTTCTATGATTTGTGAATCAAATTTAAACTTTAAGAAGTTTCATAGAAAGAAGTGCCAGTAATGTTAACTAGGGACTGAGGACAGCCATATTTTCTGCAACTTGGTATTTTCTATAGCTTGTGCTTCGACTTTTGCCAGAGGAGTTTCTCTTTACTGATATCAAGACATCTGTTCTGGGCTTGCTCCCTTTCTTTTTGTCATTACAATTTAAAGATGTGAATACTCATTAAGATGAGTTTCCTCTCCCTAATTTCAGCCAATCCTTTTCCACCTATAAGGAACAAATATTAGTAGATATAAGTTAAAAACAGTAGTTACTAACAGTCAAAACAGCAACAGGCAAAAAACCCCCCAAACTAATAAATAATCACTTAACACAAAATTGCTAAATCTCAGGAACCCCATGGGAGCAAGGAGACCCCCCAAGTGGTGGGGTAATGCCCCCTCCCAAGACGGCAGCCCCCACTGCTGATCATGTGTAGGGAAACAAAGGGAAAATGATGCCAGCTTCTTCTACAACATAGGAATTCTTATTTACATAGGAAATTTATTGAAAAAATATACAGTATAATAAAAAATTCCTTTATCCTTTGTAAACAGGTTCTATGAAATTAGTTGTTTTGACTTCTAAGATAGAATAGAAAAATTTGTTCCTAATGTTGCAGATGTTTTTCTTACTACTTTCTTCACTCTTGAGTCTTCGTACACACAGAAGATATGAGTCTTCATGTGTTGCTGTCGTTATGTACACATTAGAACACACACTTTCTGAAAACTTACTATATTTACATCATAAATGATCATATCCCTCTGTTACTAAGAAAGCAGAATTAACATTGAAATTCCTTCCTGCTTAGAATCCATTCAACATTCAGTAGCACTTTGAGAATTTAAATTAAAAAAAAATAAATCTGAATTTAATGATTATTTTAATGTGTATAAAAACAGAGTTTAGAAAGAAGATTTTATGGTGAACTTCCACCTGGGATAGTAAGTTTAAATGTGTAAAGCATATTTTTTTCTTCTACAATCCATCATAAATACATTATTTAATAATTCTTATATTGTACATTTTTCTTTTTTAAGGTACCGTTACAGTAGTTCAGCTGGCTATTTCAGTTGCTTTTTCTGTAAGGCCAAAATTGTCTCTTTTTACACTCAGGTAAAGTTTTGGGTAAAAAATGGGATCCTAATGTCTGCTAGATTCCTTAAGTATTATTATAAATTAAAAAAAAAAAAATTCCCATGAATGTGTCATGGGTAACTCAAAACATTCCATATCCAGAAATCGTTACAACCTGGTTGATGAGTTTGGAGTAGAAAAAAGCAACTCTGTGTTTCAGTCCAGAGATAACTGCTGAACTTATGATAACAGAAAAGACTACTCAAAGGCAAGATTCAGGGGGAGAAAAAGACAAAAGATCAAACTCTCTCTGATCCCTTGCAGGAGGAACACTTGAAAATAAATTGCAGAAGCACTATGAAGAGATACCATGAGCAAAAGGTGGATGGTGGGTCTTTGTCACAGTGCTCAAACAAGATATGTACTGGAAAAGATGAGAATGAAGTGGTCTGACTCATTCACAGAGAGAGGTTGTTTGAATTCACAGTAAAAGATGCACAGGGAGCGCACATTCATGATGTCTACAATTAGAGCTGTAGGATGAGTCCTTGTACCAAGTCCCTGAAAAGGAATTTGGAATTGGATGATGGAGCTTAGAAATGGATGGGGAAGGGGTCTGTGGGATAGTACTGGAGTGACTAATGGGATTAATGGGACTATCTACTGCCTGTATGGCAAAGAAAAAGCTGCAGAGAATGAGTGGGCAAGAAAAAGGTAAGCTTTAGAATGAAATTTTTAGTGAGTGGCATCAGGAGTAGCGTGGCATCATTACTACAAAGGGAGAGATATGAACAGACAAGTAGAGGAGAAACTTCTTGGGTAAAATGGAAGAGAATTTCACGTCCATAGAATAATTTTAGTTGCCTACATGAAAATGTAAAACAAAGCATCATTTAATTTTACTCTGACAGTTCAGAAATTATTT